GGTGAGAGAATTGGCTCTACTTAGATTGGTGTCGGGTGCCAACAAAGTGGTATCAGGCATGAGGGGAGAGAATCATCTCTGCTTGGTTTGGGATCGGATGTGGGACTTTACCATACTAGACGTGAGGGCCCAAGGGTCTTTACCTAATCCATGCCAAGTGTGAGTTTGATAGCGTCAGGCACGAGTTACCTAGTATTAACTTGTTGTTTTCATGATTAATTGGTGAACATGGATAGGTTAGATGAATCAATTGCATGTTATATGTTGTTAGGCGTAGTTGGGGTCTATGTATATTGATCAAGGATAATACATGTAATTGGTTACATGGTAGAACTGTTTATGTGCATTTATGTTGTAAATTGATTATTGTTGTTAGATTTATATCCATTGACCTTGGGTAATGCATATTGATGAATATTCTTGAGGTGTAATACTAATAGTGCTTTAGGCATTTAGACATGTTGTGTTGATACACTATTAAGGTATGATGTTTAGAATGTTATAGACATTTAGACATGTTGATTGACTTAGGACTAAAGGAAAAGTTATTTTTGAAAGTTAGATATCCCATTGTGAAGATGTTAGTATAGTGTTCTATGAACCTAGTTGTTGAAAAGTCCTCCTTTAGTAGGTGTTATCTCTTGGAGTGGATGGTTGAGTCTCCTCTAAAATCTTAGTTGATGCAATATGTAGGTTAGATCAAGACATACTGACTCTAAGTGACCACGATATAGGTTTAGGACGAGCTATACTAATTATAAGTGATAAATTTTGATCTGTATATGGACAAGGTCGAGACATACGTGTATAAAATGACCAACTAAGTAAAGTACAAGGTCGAGAACTTAATCCCTAGCTAAGTATCGAAGGAGTGTAGTATTTGGAAGTAGTTGATGAGTTAATTTCATAGGAGACTTAGTGTTGTAATTTAATGTCATGGTAGACTCATATCCAAGTTATTTTATCCTGAAAGTAATACTAGACTTCCTAGTTTAAGTGGCGACATTCAAGAAACCATATTGATAAGAATTGATATCCCAATTTGGTTTTTGACCTAACAGGTGTAAAAAAGTCGTGTTAGTTCAGTAGGATCAAGCCACTTAGATTGTTCACCCTGTTGTAGGAGATTTTCATAGGTGAATATGTAAGGATGTATTTGTTGAGGTGTATGCGTCTGATGTGGTGTGGACTGGTGTTGTTCATATGTTTTGGTGATTATATTGTTGAATGGCATGGTTATAGTGTAAGCTTAATATGCTTGAGTTGTTTGTATTTCAACATTATTGATGCCATGTTTAGGTGTTTTGTTGTGATGATATGTTGTGAACCATGAGGTGCTTTGTTGTTGGTTTACATGTTGGTATTGGTGATTAGTATAATTGTCTTTACTTCTATAATTGTTATATGTTTATTCTTTTGGAAATCTAGGTTACCCTTACATGTTTTCTAGTGGTTGAACTACAATGATTATGTTTACATGGGAACAGGGGCCAGGTTAGTTGAAGGTAAGACAAAGCTTTGGTGAGCCATGTTATTGGTAGTGTAGCCCTTGGCTACTATTGTATATTTTGTTATAGTTTTTTGATCGGCACCTAGGGTTCTTATTTCACTAATATAGATTAGTGTGTGTGTATATATATATATATATATATATATATATA